ATGATTTGATGAATGGGAAGTACTAGAAAGGAGTAGAATTGAGCTGGCTCATGGTGTGTACGTGGCAGGGCTGCTCCCTCCACATGGTGCCTGCTGCCAGCTGTTCACAAACTCGGATTCCTTGTTGAAGGAAGGTCATTGGAGACCTTGGCTCACAGTTGAGCAATGAATTCTAAAATAGCTTCTTACAGAAGACCTGATGGAAACTTCCTCCTGAGCCCCTGTTTTCATCTGCATCACTATCACCTGTCCATAAGGGAAGAGTTTACTGCAGCTTGGTGTCTGTATCTACAGCTCAGGTTGCCTTGTGGTTTCTAAGATCTTCTTTTCTGTTGCCTGTAACACACATAAATTCTATTCATCCAAGCCAGTCTTTTTTTGTGATAAGGGTGTTTCAAGCTAGTTGATTTACCTGTCTTGTTTTCAGTGAACTGTGATTTGGGCACCTACCAGGCAGAAGTAATACAGTGTTATGCTTGTTCAATCCTGGTGAAAGAAACAAGTCCTACAACTGAAGTGCTCCAAGAGCTGCAAGGTTCCAAGAGGGACAGCAGAGTAGGGACATAGAATCAATCATAGAATCACAGAAACATGGACTCATAGAATAGTTTGGGTTGGAAGGGACCTTCAAAAGTCAACTAGTGCAACCCCCCCTGCAATGAGCATGGACATCTACAACTAGACCAGCTTGCCTAGAACCACGTCCAGCCTGGCCTTGAATGTCTCCAGGGGTGGCACATCCATGATCTCTCTGGGCAACATGTGCCAGTATTTTACCAACTCCATTGTAAAACATTTCTTCCTCACATCCAGCCTGAGTTTAAAACCATCACCCCTCGTTCTGTTGCAACAAGCCCTGCTAAAAAGTCTCTCCCCATCTTTCTTATTGGCCCCTTTTAAGTATTGAAAGACTTTAAAAAGGTCTCAGAGTGTTCTCTTCTTCACGCTGAACACCAACTCTCACAGCCTTTTCTCGCAGGAGAGCTGCTCCATCCCTCCGAACATTTCTGTGGCCCTTTTCTGGACCCTCTCCAACAGGTCCATATTTCTCCTTGATCCAGGCATCTAGGTTGTGAACTAATCTGTGGGGTGAAGAGGAAGAACCTAGTTTAGGATAAATATGTAGACACAGCAGTGGCAATGTGACAAATAGCTCTTTAAGGCTTTGTAGCCTGAGAGTGCACTGTAGTTAGGGCTGTCTGGAAGATGATGAGTGTAAATATTTCTGTTTAATGAGCATGCATGCTCATTTGCTCATTTAGAAGAAAAGAAGTCATAAAGGAAGGCAATAAGCAGAAACAAAACCATAAATTGCTGTGCCTTGCAAACTGCTACGTCTTCATAGCTTTTATAGTGACCTCATACCTTGCAAAGGGGTGCAACAAAGAAACCACTGGAGTGCCAGCACATTTTGAGGATGAGGAATGAGCCTCCCTTATTTCCCTTCTCTTTTGTTTGTAAGGTCTCAGCTAGGATTCACTAGATAACTAGATAACAACATGCCTCTATTTCATGGATTTGTCTGTGTTTAAAAAGCAGCATGTTTTGTTTAGCAGTTTGTACCTCCTTTATCACTGAGGTTCCACTGAGATCCCCTGTGGTATCTTCATAGTGCCCATCAGGTCATGGAGGTTCAATATCCCAGAAGACAGGAAGACAGATGCTGCCAGAGGAGGAAAAAGAGACAGACTGAGGTGCTCAACACCAAGGCCACAGCAAAACTGTGGTATGCTGGGGGCAGCAGTTACAAGCTGGCATGACATATAGGTATATAGCTTCAGCCACTTGCTCAACTTGTCTCCAAAAGAAGACAACCTCAGCAAAAATCAACCCCGTTCTGTGACAAACATTTCACACCATGTGAGCTTACAAAATACTGTTAGCCTGGAGACCAAATGCGGCCCATGGGCAGGACAATGTATATAAATACCTAGGGGAGGCTGGCATGGAAACAAATAAACAGGCTCTGATTTTCTCCTGCAAAATTAGGTAGCTTTCATACTGTGTGAGACTATAAAGACTGAGTTATCCTGACACCAGTACAGTCATTGGCTCAGGGTTTTGGCTGGCATCCAAGGCTGATGTTCCCATTCTCGAGGGGGCTTTAGCACAGAAATTGATAAGAAAGTTTATGTGTTGTCCACCTCTGTAAGCTAGCCTGAGCATCTGAATTACAGAACATCTGGAGACCAACCATGGTGACCATGTCGCCACCCTGTCAGAAAGGCTAATGAACAGCCTCACTGTAATTAAATGGTGTCCTTAGATGCTCTAAAATGAAAAACAAATGCACAGCCTGCATACCTGTGGTACCCAGACAGTAAAGTATTCTGTGTTACCTTCTGTATTGAGCAACTTCTGCCATGCTTCATGCCTATACTTACTGTGGTGGAGACCTCCTGCCATAGACAACTCAGTGATTTGGGGATATTATCTTGCAACAGGCCTACGCATCTGAGGGCTAGAGACCAAATTACAAGCTCTTAATGTTTTCCCAAATGTTTTCACATACACTCTGTTATTATCTATATTGCATTACAGGCTAGCTATCATGAGCCATTCAATTTGAACAACAGGCAACTTAAATTGCACACTGTACATTGGAGCACATTTGTACAAGGAAATGTCAGCAGCAATAACCAGACTCACTGTGCTGTGCCTAGGGAGTGTGCTCTCCTGAGGTCAGTGGAAGTTCAGACTGCTGAGGATCTGAGTCTTTAAGGGCTTACCTCAGGAGCGCTTCTATATACCTGGAACCTGTCCACATCACTAGCTTCCTAAATTCTTCCAAGGATCTGAAACAACACATAGTACCATCCAATCACAGGTAGCCAAGGAGGCCAACAGCTGCCCACATAGCCAAGGTCAACAGCATCCCAGCCTATATCAGAAATAGTGTGGCCAGGAGGATGGAGCAAGTAGGTGGCTGGTCTCTTTTCCCAAGTAACAAGCGATAGGACAAGAGAAAATGGCCTCAAGGTGCACCAGGGGAGGTTTAGACTGGATGTTAGGAAAAATGTCTTCAACCAAAAGGGTGTTCAGGCATTGGAACAGGCTACCCAGGGCAGTGGTGGACTTGCTGTCCCTGGAAGTGTTAAAAAACTGCATAGATGAGACCCTCAGTGACATGGTTTAGTGGTGGCCTCTGCAGTCCTTGGGTCCTGCATGTCTGTTATTAACAAAATCTAAAATCCCAGTTGCATTTTCACCCTGTTATTGAAACTGTTTTCTGGCCTATCTTCCCTGCACCACTGTTAGAAACTACAGCTACATTTGACTAGCACACAAAAATAACTCAAATACAGCAGAATCTTGGTAAAATACAGAAATAATTGTTGTGCTTTAACTGCTATGATTTGGTAGCAGTATAATTCAATAATCATACTGAAGCTTTGGGGTATTTTAGTAATATGTGAACAGCAAATCAACGCGTAAGGTGAGAGTGCATGCATGGAGTATTCCTTTACTGGTCTAGATCTTCATGGTCAAAACTTTTTGATACAAGATTACTCTTTTCTCTTTCTGAAATTCTATGATTCCATGAAATCGTACCTGCCACTTCAAAATGATGTAACTTATGTTGCACATGGGAATTATGTTGTACAGTATCCATGCAAAGAGAATGTCTCTTCATGTTTCCATACCAGGCACCCAGAAGAAATCTACTTGCTTTGTGTTACTTCTGAGAAGCACTTTGATTGAATGAGTTTCTTTTTCCCAGGTCTGGGATTCAGATGGGAATCCTGGTAGGAAATGGAAATCTGAGGTGCCTGCACACACCACAGCAAAATAGAGCCATACAATAATGAAAGTAAAACACCCTCCCTCACAGAGTATCTCACACTGCTCTGAATCTCGTCCCACATACTGTTATTTTAGAGTCTCTTGCAAGATTTTTTTTTCCTCCAAATAATTTAACATCCCCTCTCTTTGGGCATCTTTTGGGCAATGTTTGGTGGGTATCTGATTCTGAGCTGAAATGATGTATCGCAAAACCACAAATCTGGGAAGTAAAAGCAGAATAAGCAAAATTAACTGGGCATGGCTTGAAAAAAGAAAACACTTCTACACAGCTATTCCTTTTGAACAGGTAAGCAAAAATCAAAGCATCTCATAAATGCGAAGCCTAGACTGGCTAAAGGAATCCCAACAGTTTCAACATGAGGCATGCGAGAGTGAGGATGTGTGCTCATTTATTATGAAAAGTGCTGTTTATTTTTTATGAAGAGTGCTGCAATCTGAATGCTTCCATGCGAGGAAGGAGAGGAAACAACCAGTCAGCTCTTTTCAAGATCCTGTAAGAGTAGTTTCCTCTCCAGTCTACAGATTCACCCTTTTCATGTTTCCCAGGGTCTACACATTATGCCTTTCTTTGCCCAAAATTCATAGCATTTTTATGTCCTATTAAAATGTTTTCCCAGATATGCTTGGTGCAAAGAGGATTGATGCAAAAAGGATAGGTTAGATCTCCAGGTATTTAAAATGATTTCAGTTCTGTCACCTGAACTGGAATTAAGCTGAATTACAACAGCTGAGCAACTGACTGTGAAGGTGGGTAGACCTGCCACTTGGAAAATAATCCCTGGTTTTTGCACACAACCTGGCTTCTTTGTCACCAGGGTTTGACTGGCTGTCACAGCTCCGCGGGAGATACTTGACTCCAGAGCAACTTTTTGCCTCTCCATCTGCTACTGCGGAGCCGGGAGAAGCGGGCTTTCTGCCTGGGGACCGGGAGAGCCGGGTGACTCTGTTACTCCGTCCGGAGGAGCTTTGGCAGCCTGGGGTGCAGCAGCAGCCTCCAAAGGCCCAGTGTGGCCGAGCTGCTGCCCGAGGAGCAGCAGCGCCGCCGCTGGGTGGGGGGAACGGGGCGGCCGGTACACGGCACACACCACCCGGCTGCTCCGGGGCAGGGCTGAAGCGGCGGCCCGGCCCGCCCCGGGGCGGAGGTTAGCGGGGCTCCGGCCCGGCCCGTCCCGTCCCCTCCCCTCCCCCTGGCGCCGGCGGAGGGCAGGGGTAGGAGGAGCCGGAGCTAGGGCCGGATCGCGGCGGCTCTAGCGGAGCCCCCGAAGTTTGCGCTGCTGGCGGAGGGCGGCCCTCGGCCCGCCGCTTCCGGGGCTCCACCGCGCCGGGAAGAGAGGAGCGGGCCGGCGGGCGCCCAGGGAAGGGGGTGGTAGCCGGCGGGCCGAGCCGAGATGAAGAAGCCGGACGGGAAGGTGGTGCTGCTGGGGGACATGAACGTGGGCAAGACCTCACTGCTGCACCGCTACATGGAGAAGCGCTTCCAGGAGACTGTCAGCACTGTCGGCGGCGCCTTCTACCTCAAGCAGTGGGGGCCCTACAACATCTCCATATGGGACACGGCCGGTGAGATCCGCGGCGCGGGCTCGGTGCGGGGCAGCCCGGAGGGCCCCCTCCCTCCCCGGGCTCCGGCCCCGCGGGCTCTCGGTGTTTCCCGGCGGAAAGGGCCCCATAGAAACTTGCGGGGCGCTTGCCGGGCTGCCCCGCTCCTGTGGGCGCGGGAGAGCGGCGCTTTCCCCGCCGCCGTCCCAGGCGGGGGCTGCCCGGCGACACCGTCCGTGTCTCCTCGGTCATTCTGCGTGCGGTTTCCTTTTCCTTGATTTTGACAGGAGCTGTTGAGGGGACAAGGTTGGGTGACCTCGGTCGGTACGGTGTTTCGCCTCTCCGAGAACCGGAGAGGAGGGGATGGAGAAGCGAACCACGCTCCGCACCGGCGGAGGCGGGGTACCGGGAAATGTCCCTTGGGTGTTCGGGGCTCAGTGCGGTGTTTCGGAACTGCTGTAAAATAAGTCGGCTAAACCGAATGGTTTGGCAGTAGGACATAACTCTGAAAAGAAACACATTTCTGGCGAGCCAAAAGGGGCCTTGCAGCTGCTAATCCGTAGTATATTTGGATCTGCTTTGCAAAACGTGGATGTACAGAGAAGATCGGGATGCCTGTTGGCTTTCTTTAGCCTGAGTAGATGGCACTGACTGCAAATTCAGACGGGAGTTAGCGAGGTTACAACTTCTGCTCATCGCTTCTCGCTGCATGCTTTTAAATGTCCAACCGCGATCAGCTGGTGCCGGGCTCAGACTGACAAATGAGCGCAGCTCGCCAACCCTTCAGACGTGGCTTGCTCTTTGAACGCAGCAAGAAGAGCTCGGCACATAAGGATTTAATGCATAGCGAACGTGGGCTGCAAGCAGTTTCTGTCTGGGAGAGCAGCAAGGGGTTGTCTGGCCCGCTGTGCTGTGGCAGGCAGCATCTGCGGGATGCGGGAGGGAGCGCAGGTTGTGGTTTGGAGCTCTGGAGTGGAGGGGTGTGGGAGAGCATAGACTGGAGAAGTGGTTTGTGGTCTCAGTCATGTGAATATCTTGCTCTTGGTTATTAAGTCAGGAAATACCATGTAAAGGGCCAGGCTACACTGAAAAATGAGGTCTCTGAATGTTCCTGCCTGTTAAATTGACTGTTGGAGAAATAGCTTGTTTTCCTGTTCAGCTAAATTTTGTTGAAATTTTTTAGTGGCAACCTAAAGAATGTGGGTCATATATTCTTGTGAAACTTGGGGAGCTACAGCATCGTGCAATATTCCAGTTTCCTCTTGGTGACATCTGGGAGGGAACTTCATTTGCTGCGTCACTTTGTGTCACAATCTAATCCAAAACGGCTTTTCCTGTGTCAGGAATTGAGAAGGAGGAAGGGGGGAAAGAAAGTGCCTGAAAGTTATGCAGAAACTTTTTTTGGGGGGGAGGAGATGCTTAACTTAGGCTTCTTGCATTCCTTAATCTGTTACTATGATGAAAGCTCTCTACCAGCAGCCCTGGTGTAGATACACTTTCTACATGCTTTGTGGTATTCTTGAGAAAAATCTACTTAAGTTTTAGATTTGTCATGTCCTACTGTGGGGAGTCTCCTATGGGCAACTGCTGCTTGTTTCTAGTAAGCCAGTCCCATGTGAGTGATTAGTGGGCTTTATTTCGACAGAATTATCTTGGTGAGTTTGTTCTTTAGTAATTTCCCTTATGCCCTTCTGCTTTTTTTTGTTAGTTTGTTTGTTTTTAGCATATGTGATAAGTCACTCTAAGGCGTCTTCAGATTTTAGAGCCTTTCAGTCGTTTATTCTTATTATAGTGTTATATTCAGTGTTAGTTGAGGAAATACCTGAAACACCCAAGTGATACCTGTCTCAGGGCAACACAAGGGTTCAGGGCCTTAGCAGCCAAAGTTCCTCCTGCACTCTGGAACAGGGTCCTGTGATGATTCTGATGCTTGTTCAGTACTGCAGCAGAAGCTCCTTTTACTTCCTAAGCCTCGGCAAGACTTCTGTGGCAGGATTGCTGAAGCCAGTTGAAAAGTGTTGTTGGGTTGCACTGAGGGCAGCATAACTCATCTTCCTCAACTTTCTCTGAAAGAGACATACCTGCTTTCTCCTGTCCTGGTGGAGGAGGAAGGAACCTTGTGGACACTGCAGCTTTAATGTTGGGTCAACAAGGGCATTCATAAAGCCTGCATTATTTATTGTATTTTTTATTTAATTTGTGCAGACCTCACACTTTTGCTGGCCACAACGTGCCTGCAGTCCTTGGTTTGTGGCTCTTATCTCTCTGTGGTGTCACTGTCTTATCTCTGCCAGGTGGCTACCAAGTAAGCTTGGGTTTTTTTTGTATAAGAAGGCGTTTAAAATTTAGCTCTTCTGTCTATTAACCTGACATTGCTTATTACTGAATGCTTGTGAAGCAGTAACAGGGTGATCAAATACAGATCCATTGTTTTCTCTAACTGCGTGTGCCTCAAGTTATAGTGGAATCCAGAAAGAAAAGATTATCCAGGAGGTAAGAAATTCTCTACTATGACAAAAGTATGGTTCAATGTCTGCAACCCTCTTACCTACCTAAATACTGAGTGCCAACATGAGATGTCTGTCTTAATACTGCAGTAGTAAGTACTTCACACAATGTACAAAGCAGAAATACAGACGATTTGGCCTAGAAAATGAAGGGATACCTGGTCATGACTACTGCAGTAGTTCAGTATCTGGTAAAATACACAGACATGCAAGAGTAACTGGAATGCATGTTCTTTTAAAATTTTCTTGGTTCATGATTATCAGCATTATTTTGGGGACTGTTATCTCCTTAGGAGTCCCATGTATTTTTCTCTCAGTTCAGTTAGGATGGTTATTTGTTGTTCTGGTCTGGGTTAGGAAGTTGGCTGAAACAGTGTAAACTTCAATACACTAATGTAAACTACATTACTATTCCTGTAATAGAGTTTTGTTTTTACAAGATTAGACTTTAGTGATTGATCAGTATATCTGCAGTAATGGTGATGGACCAAAAATTAAGTATGCATAGATATTAGTGTTACCTCAGTTTAATGGCCCATCTTCTGAATTATTTAAAGAATGTGTCATTTTTACCCATCACTCTGCTGATCTTGCATTACTTCTCACTCTGTTATTCAGAAAAATCTCACATTTTTTCCAGGAAGAATTAATTTTGCTTACCAGAGTGCTTAAAACGCATGGTTCTGTGTTATCTCTCAATAAATCACAGAAGAGCACACCAGACCTGTTTTACCAATTTAGGTTTGAAGTGCAAATCAGTCTCGGGAGGACTCTTCTCTTGGCTCTACATTCGCTCCACTCCTTATCTTGGGAAAATCAGATGCCTACTCTAGTGTAAATTTTTCATGTTCTTAGCCATAAGTCTTGTAAAATGGGTGCGCAGAAGTTGTCAGACTTGATTGTTTCTTCTGTAAATGCACATAGCAAATAATTCCGCATTTCCAGTTTTCCAATCTGATTCTGAGACAAATTATTTTGAAATTGCATTCAAGTCAAGGAAACAAGCCACAGATGGAAGAACACTTGGGGCAAGTATCATATGCTTGCCATGTACTTATGTTCTTTGTTTTTTTCCTAGCCATCTGCTTTTGACTGTTTCTCCATTGTGAGAGGCTTGGATAGTTGGTCTACTGTTGTATTCTTGGTGCGGAGGATTATTTATTCTGATGCTACAAATTATATTTGCTTCTTTCCCGTTTGGTCAGTTAATTCAAATGAATAATAATAAAAAAAAAATCCATAAACTATAGAAGAAGACAGGAACTGGAAACTTTTAGCCTATTCTAAAGTCTGCTAGATAGAGACCTAGAAGCATCTGAGCTATGCTTTGAGACCCTCATAGTAGTATGTTTGGAACAGTATTTTTCTGAACCAAGGAAAGTAAACAACAGTGTCAGCTAGAAGAATTTTCTCACATGGAAGTATTGGAGGCTGGGATGTCAAAGCTGTATATATGTATATGTATGTGTGTATATATAACTTCTAGGCAGTGCTGACAGCAGCTGTGGAGTAAACCAAGACTTTCTACTGGGTGTTGATGGCATGTGGCTCTGAGCGAGCACACAGGCTTTTATCTCGGGCAGTGCAAACACGTCCTGAAGTTCTGAGGGTCTCAGTCCTGCTCCATCATTAAACCTGGAATACTAATGCATGGTGGCTGCAGCTAACAATGTTGTGGGAGTCTTGGGTGTTCAGGCATATTTTCTGATGCCTTGGTATTTCACAGGGAAAAACTTGTTTGTTTGTTAGATTCAGTCTCTTCAAGTTGACATTTGTTTATCTGGCAGATAAGTGGTGCCTCCAGCAGCAAGTTTTCTTAATTATTAGTGGTCCCCTGTGTTGCTGGCTTAGCATTAGGGGAGGCAACTGGTAAGTTAATGACAAGTGTTTAATAAAGTTCACTTCATGATCCTGTAGTTACATTTTAAGAAAGAGGCTGGGTTTTGAACTTGCCAACAGATAGTCATGCAGCATTATAATGGAGAAATATAAAGGTTAGCAGGGAAAACAAACTTCCCTTCTTTTCCTTCCTTCTCATCTTGAGCAAGCTGTCTGTATGCAAGAACTGACTTGACTATTTTATTCTGTGAACATTCAGCTATCAGTCCATATTTTTCCACCCTCCACCCCTTCATTTTGCACCTGGAGATTTTTTTTAGTGACTTTTTTACTTGTGGAGCTAGCAGGGACAAAGGAGATAAATATAGCCTGGAAAATGCTATATGAAAGGCTTTTCTGTGACTTGGGTCAGCTGCAGTGTATCTGTGTAACAAGTGCTTACATCTCTTGTGACTGGTTTGCTGATGTCTGATGGATAAGTGCTGGTGACGCATGTGAATTGCTCATGGTTTCTGATCTTTGATTGTCACTGTTATGTTGGCAACTGCCTGTGCTGAGCTTTCTCAGGCTACATCTGAGTGTTTGGCTGGTAAGAAGTGTTACGTTCCTTCCTAGCTCAGTTAGGCTTTGAGGTTTTTTGGATTTCTTGAGAATGAGGTCAGCCCAGGTAGGCTGGTC